CGCAAGCTCTGTGATTGACAACTTTGTCAAGCAACGTGATGGGTTTGCCACGCAACACAAGCAACTTCCACTTCCACCACAGAGCGAGCTCTTTGTGGAGGGGCGACGCTGAACCAACTCTGTCAAGCATTTCGTGCACTATTCGCCGCACGCGCACAGCTTCACTATGGCTCGCATCAGGCAACACCCAGGAACAAGTGGAGAGAGGGTGCAAGTGTTTCCGGCGCAGTGCTGCATTGATTCTTTCAACCGCCTTGGCACGGCGTGCCGGCGATGTAAGCAACTCAGCAAGACGCCTCATTTTCACCAGAAGTGCAGGCCAAACGCAACTCCAAGAAACTTTAGTCCCTCTGGTGGCAACTTTACACGTCCAAAGATGCGCAGACACCAACTCGCAAGGAGGGGTATCTGGGACACCCAACTTGCACATCTCAGCCCAAGCAAGTCTTTTCCAAACGCCCGTGTCCTCACGCTGTGCATCACCTGCGGATACAAGTCTGGGTACACATGTCTTGGCCATCAAAGTATCAACGTTAACGTGCAAAGGGGATGAAGGTAAAGACCTGTGCCATTTGTGTACCTGCAAAGGGCGAGCTTGGACTCGAGATCTCTTCATGTCAGATGGTCCGCTCAATGGGTTCTGGATCGTTTTGATTTTTGTCCGACCCCCTTGTAAAGGCAAGGTGAAGGAACGCAGGATAAACTGCTCACGCATGTAAGCTTGCTGCTTTTGTCCAAACCACACTGGCACGGCATGGTTTTTGCAGGGCAAGGCGCAAGTGCGCCAAGCTTTGTACCGGCGCTCAATGCCAACATGCGCACGAACCTCACGCACCTTGTGATCATACCATCTCTGCGAAAAGCCGAAACAAGGACCGTGTGTGTTTCGAACCCCTGAGCAAAAGCCAACGTAAACATTGCGATGGCAACAGGAAACACCTGCGACGTATGTTATGCCGGTTTCAAGCATCTTAACACGACCATCATGCATGATAGCAATCAGAAGTTCAAGCCAATTTGCAAGGGATTGGCAAGCAGACTCCCTCCCGGAGACCAGCTGTTGATGCAAATCCAAAGGAAAGAAGCGGCACACAATGCTGACGTGTCGATGTGAGCTCTTGGCCTTGCTTGATAACGACATTCTGTGCACAAGGCTCGCACATGCAGCCGCAGCATCAAGCAGACTAACAACTTGAACTATCTGAACATGTGTCCTGCCCCACGACATGTGTTGCGGGAACAGCCAGCACAGGCAGAAGAACATAATGAAATGAAAATCCGCGACATCACATTCCTGCAACAAAGCCGGGATCTTTGACAACACGCTGCGAGTCAGGTGCTTAATGGTGTCGTTCGGTCTGGGCACAGCACCTGTGACAACGAAGCTAAGCATCATCATGAATGCTTGAGGTGTCAAAGCAGATACCTCAGGCCAGTGCAATGAGTCCACCGTGCCCGGAAAGAAAAGAGCACGTTTGAGAATGGCACTACGTTTACGGATACTGCTCATATGGACAGATAGACACGTGCCAACAAGTGGCACAAGGAGAAAAGGCTGGAAGAAAGTGCTGACAAAGCTCACTACGCTGAACCGCGGCTCGTGAGCACCACACAATGAAGTAGAACTCTGAAGCTTGATGGCTCCAAAGCGCCGTCTCAACAACCAGATTGTTGGAAACGAAATGTATGAATATCACAGCACACCCCTACGACCCCAAGAAAACAGAATGTTTCGATTACAACCTACACGTACAGCCAAGGAGGCAAGGTGAACTCGTAATTCGAATAATGATCGCCGTGAGTTTTTTTCGGCTCGGTGTTGTCCCCTCGTCAGGCAGTGCTTCCTCAAAGACTCGTTTCGCCCATCACATTGCTACGAGTATCACAGGAGAGGATTAGGGCACAAGGGACTTCCCTCGGGAGACTCGAGCAATAAAACTCCGACGGAGCTCAGAACTTGATCAGAAACATCCTGTAGCGTGAAATGCACATTCTCTTGCACACGCTCCAAGATGGGACTCAATTAACTGGCATATATCCAAGTGCCCGCTTCACAATCTTCCGGCTTTCAGCCGAGAGCCCAACACCGCCGAGTTTACTGCCCAAATTGTGCACGCAAGACTTCAACCACAACAACCTCACGCGGAGTGAGAGAACAGCTTCTGAACCGTTAGCCCTAAACCCTAATCCTTTCAGAACCTCTTCAACCCCCAAATTCTTTCATCTTGCTGGTCGCTCGGCGCGGGCTTTGCTGGGTTTTGCATAGAACGCTTTTAGAGAAGGGTTCCATAAGGGGTGTATACTGTTCGGAGGTTTAAGGCTGTAGGAATTCAGGTTGCCAGTGTAAGGGGCAGAAGGGTTTCAGGTTTGCTGTGCTTGGGGCTTGCGGGTCTGAGAGCCTAGTGGTTCAGGAGTTCAGGGCTTTTGGAGTTTAGGACTTCTTGCATAAAGGTTCAAGGTTTTGAAGCTGGAAGTTGAAATCACAGAATCTTGAGGCTCGGAGTCTGATTGAGCCTGGTTCGGGTTTAGGGTTTAGGGGCATCTCCGGTGTTGTCTCTTGAATTGAAAAGCTTCTGAAAGGATTAGATGGATTGCACGGGTTTCAGGTAAAAGGCTATTATTCTCCGTACTTTTGGGGTCCAGGTAGAGGTTCGCCGGATTGAGTAAGTGGGGATAGACCGTATTACCATGCTTCAGCCCGAGACTCTCAAACCCTGCACCCTGAAGCTCTCACGCCGAGGCCCGTGAACGCTAAACCCAAAGCCCCGACACTGCACCCGACACTCTGGTTACTCTAGCTCACGAGATGGATTGGCAGGGACTCCACCGACGATTTCGCATGAGGAGAAGAAGGCATGTCGGGTTTCCATTTTGGTTCAAGCAGAACTCAACATGGATGTTTGCTAGACTTTTCGAAGTTCGAACCGCTAGATATCTTACGAAAGCCGGGTGCTGCTCAGTGCCTTAACGCCTCAACCCTAATCCCAAGCAGAGGTTTGAGGCTGTTGAAATGTTCGATTCTTTCTTCGGGGCTCCTTACGGTCTGGAGCCGTCCTTCTGGGTTCTTGTCGAGTTTGGTTGCATTCTGTAGGAAAGCCCAGAGCTTTGAATCCGGATCTTTGGGGATTGGTGGCATGTGTTCAGGCAACGGACAACGAAAAGGATCCAACAAATAGGACCCTGGAGCAAGGCCGTGCGCAGACCCGTATTTAAGTTCTGTTTTTGTTTGGACCCTGTGAGCCGTCCGAGTTGAAAGAAAGATACAGTTGTGAGCGTTGAAAGCTGAAGGGTTCCTCTTCTGTTGAAGGATTTAAGCTGAAAGGCTGGGATTTGACCCTGGAGACCTGATGTAGGAACGTGGAGACTTGTGGGTGTTGGGACTTCAACAAACTCTATACGGCCTTGAGTCGCTATGCAAGTTTCAATAACGCATCAGGCTCGTCGGAGAATGCGCATACCAAGAGGCTTGTCTGCCCAATAGTGTTGCGTAGTTGTTGCCGATCGAATGATGATGAGGACCAAAACACCACATGTTCGTTGCAGCCTCCGTCGTCTACTCTATGAGAACGTAAACCCCCGTTCTACTATTGTTCCGAGAGGCCGTTGAAAAGCTGCAAACCCTCTGGAGCTCGCTACGTGAAGCCGCAGTCCGGATCGCGGAGCTGCAAACAACTTTGCAGACTGCAAAGGCTGGCCTCGGGTTTACTATAGGGGCCTTATACCTATACTACTTTGGGGGTTCCTTCCGATTTATAGTATAATGGGCCCCAAAACCCCATTCTAGTTGTTACAGTTCCTCTATTTCGGCTTCGCGGGCCTTAGGTTTTTTTTTCTCGGGGGTCTTGCTCTTTTACGCTTTAACAACAGGTTCTCATACATGCTTGGCATTGTAGCGTTAAGGGTTGTATTCGCGGTATTGACGGCGAGAACTCGGGTTTCAGGATGTCGGGTTGCGAAAGGTTCTACGACCCCTGAGATTTCAGCATCGATCGATGCCATGGAAGCTTCTTGAATTTTTTTGACTTTGACATTTGATCTCCCCTATGGCGTACAAGGCAACCCCATCACGCAATCTTCTCCTGAATCTTCAGCACGAAAGCCCTGCAAAAGCAAAAGCGTTCTTCCTCAGTCCTCGTTGCGATCGCCATCATCTTCGTCAAACAGTCCATAGCAGGCTTTGCACGGATGCGGCAATATATCGCTGAAGCATGTGCTATCCCATTCCAGCCAGTCCTGCTAGGTTACGCATTTAGGACTTCACTTTGAGGCTCGGGGGACTCCAAAAATGGACTGGACTTGAAACTCGACGGTGTTTTTAAGACTGCGATCTTCTCAGAGTGTGGTTCTTTGCGATGCTCATGGCCCGTTGGATTGGACTTCTTCAGATTTCTTAATGTCCAAAGTCCAAATCCTCTTCAGAATTCAGCCGTTGGTTGCCGGTTTAGGGCTTGGATTCAGTTGGGAGTTTCCGAAAATAGGGGATCCCAGTATAGTACCCTAAATACTAGGATCCCTACGTATTACAAGGACCCCAAACAATCTAGCCCCAATTTTCGGAAACCGTAAACCCTAAACCCTGAACTTCTTATAGAACCCTTATAGATCCCTTTAAGGAACCCTTAAGGATCTCTTTAGAGGCATCCCCCCCGGATTTTCGGTAAACTCCTATGGTTGCTGGAGGGGCAGGGGACTTAGTAAGCCTTTTATCAGTAGGGTTACAATTGTGGTAACTCCGTTTAGGGTACTTACAACTCTACTTATATCCTACTTACTAAGTCCCCTGCCCCTCCAAGTATACTATAGGGGCTGTAAATAATTGCCAATACTATTCTGGGTGTTCCTTATTATACTTACAGTATGATGGGCCCCAAAACCACTAAGGCATAATATGCCAGTAGCGTGACGAAACGGCAGATGGTAAGCTCGAGTGGCATGTTCTCTTTGGTTCAGATCTATATTCGCCCCGTGTTTGCCCAACACAAGATCCATGCGTTCTCGGCATGACGGTGACGGTGGCTCTCTTCCTCGCGCTTTGCCTGGTGGAGGTCTCTAGCCTTCGGGACCCCAAGCCCAGGGAGGCCGAGCCTGCGGCAGCCTGGGCCGAGGGAGAGAGCTTCTCATCCATGGCCGTGGAGGCCGAAACGGAGGCGTTTCTGATCAATGCCCAGGGCTCCGATGGCGTTGGAGCTCTAAGACTAGACAGCGAATTCCCGCAATACGACTCAGCAGCACAGGAGGAGATGAGTTTTTTGGATGGTTCTCCTGGACTTGATGGTACCTTGGACCCTTGCCAACGTGACCTGCGCAGCTTGGTAAATGCACTCGAGAGCACCTGCAAGATCCACGAGCCCAAGAGGTTTGCCAGGAGGCCCCGAGACAGCGAGTATCATCCGGAATGTTTTCAAGACTTGCAGAATATGACGTGCGCCGAGAGTGCGAGAGACATTCTGCTTTATGGCAAGGAGCTAGTGAAGGCCATGCAGGTCCCTGCCAACCTTGTTTGGAACTACTATCTGCCGGAAGGCAAGAAGTTCCGGAAGGAGAACTGGAAGACTTACCGATTGGTGCAGAAGCTGTTCTTCCTCAAAAGCTGGCTTCGTAAGGTGGCAGCGCCCGCCAAGCACGCCATATTGTGGTCTGGTTTCTGGACCGATCCAGAGGCAAAGGGGGGGAGTGGAACGTCAAAGATCTCAGCATATGCATGGTTTGATAGGCGTGAGGTGTGTTTCCATGTCTCTTTGCTTATTGGTGCATTTCCATCTTTTGCCCCCTGCAGGTGGGCCCTACTGGGCGCACTTCCAAAGAAAGCCTTTTTGCATTCGCAAGCCTCACAGAGCACGACACGCTCCATCCGAGTACAGAGCTCGGAAGAATCATGGAAGCCCACCAAGAGCTCAGCGCTTGCTTCCATGTGGAAAGTCCTATTGCGCTGAACATGGCTAATAATGTTTGGGCGCTTGCAAGCTTCATGTTCGTGCTTGGCAGCGAGAAGCAAGAGCAGAGCACGGTCGTTGCACTTGTAAACAAGCAGCTCGAAGGGGAACGCCCTCTGAAGCATTCCGTGCTCTTCAAGCACGAGATGCCCACGCTTGGCATCGCAGCATATGGCCTGGGGCACTGGTCTCCTCACGTGCTGGTCATCGATATGCTGGGCACTTGCCACATGACTGGACCGGCATTGCGCCATCAGCTACTCGCCGGAGGCATAGCTTGGTATCCAGTCTTGGAGGAGTTTCAGTTTTTCAGTGCCAGAGACTTCGCCCAGCGTAGCACCATGAGCTGGACCTGCTGGGACTGTCCAGAGTCCAGCTGTCGCCTCGACGTGGCCCTGGCCCAGGCCGTGCAGCGAGCCAGCGAGGCAAGGGGCGTTGGACGTTACAGTGCCCAGAAAAACCTTCAAAGCTTTCATGTCTCAATGTATCCTGCAGGCCAAGGACGAGGCTGACCGCAACTGCAAAGAGGTTTTTCAGGCCGCAGCAAAAGGATTGCATGTCACTTGGACCGCCGAGCTGACCACTCAGTGCAGAGCACCTCGGTTCCATTGGCTCGGTTTCGACATTTCTTCCGTGCGCTTCTTGTTTTCGCCGACCCAAGGACCCGAGCACTGGGAAGAGGCCTCAACATGTGGAGGCAGAGAGAGGGCTTGTGAGCGTCCTCCGCCTCCTTTTGGACAACAGGGCGGACCCCAACGTGAAGGACAGCGATGGTAACACCCCACTCCACTACGCCGCACTAGAGGGACGCAGTGAGGTCATCCGCCTGCTCCTCAACCAAGCACTTGCATTGTTTTGTGCAGACTTCACAGCTGTTCGGTTTGCGTCTAAATGGTCTGACCTTTCGTGATGTTCTTTGGAGCCAGTTTCTCCAGCTGACCTTCTTCTCTCGAGTTGCTGGTTGTTGTTGCTTAGGCTCCTTGCCAACAGGGCGGAGCCTAATGTAAAGAACATCCACGAGACTATGCCTCTCCATCTTGCTGCAAGAAGGGGAGTTGAGGATGCCGTCCGACTGTGCCCGGGCCAAGAAGAAGCATTGTGTTGTTCCTTGAGCTCTTTCCCCACGCTGTTGTCTGGGTTTCTCAGGTTCACCAGGTTGCTTAGTTGGCACGCAGCGCAATGAATCGGATGGGTGGAGTCTTAGACTTTTTAACCATAAGACAAAGACCATGAATCCAAAGGCTTCTGCAGAAGAAGGCCGACCTCAACGTTCAGGATTCTGTCGGCATGACGCCACTCAACATGGCCGCTCACTGGGCACCGACGACGGTCGTCCGCTTGCTCCTGGACCGAAAACGTGGGCTTCAAAACGATTCACAAATGGGAGTTTCCGAAAATAAGGGGTACCACATTTTGGGGTCCTTATAATCGGGATCCTACTATTTAGGGTACGACATAAGGGTCCCCTATTTTCGGAAACTCCCAAATGGTAGCCCAGCGGTTTTTGTGGGATTCCAAAGGACTCGTAGGGGGGGGTTTAATGTTAACAGGCAGCCAACCTGCAATTCGTTGACAATGAGACTTGTGTTGCAAGTAAAAGCATCCGCGTGCCCTTGCATAGGTAACACCCGCTGACCCAGTGCCCAGTGTAAGCTGTTGCTAACACAAGATCCGCTTTAGTGCCGCAAAGTAGCGAGAAAAATGCCCCCTAAGTTGCTTCATCATGGCAGTTGCCTTACTTGCAACCCTGTTGAGAAACTTAAAATCCTAAAACCCTAAACTCTAAAACCCTAAACCCTAAGTCCTTCTTCTTGTCCGAGGCTCTTGGACAAGAAGGCCGATCCCAACATCAAACCCAGCCCTGGGCCTGGCTTGGCGCTCCACGGTGCCGCGAACGCGGGCAACGCTGAGGTCGTCCGCCTGCGCCTTGGAGGAACTATATATCATATAGCACAACATTTTTTCCTTTTTTTAACACATAAATATGTTGTTTTTTATTTTTTCAACATACAGGATACCTTCTGGAAGCACCTCTTTTTTATGTGGAAGGCCAACCTCTCACCTCTATAAGGGTACTATAAGATAGGGGCCTTAATGATTAGAATAGGGTTCCCTTTAAGGGATACTGTAAAGGTACTCCTTACGCTCCGAGTGTTAAGATGTCGGTGCTCAGGCTCCTTGACAAGAAGGCCGAACCTAACGCGAAGGATTTTCATGAAACGACGCCGCTCCATGTTGCCGCGGCCAAGGGACACTCGGAGGTTGTCCGTTTGCTCCTGGGTCAGGAATGGGAAGTTGTCAAAACTATGGTCCCTTTTTAGATCCCTAATATAATACGGCACCTATTATTTAGGCTACCCAAAAAGGGACCCCAATTTTCACAACCACCCGAATCTGTGCACTGCTTTCCGTTGGGATAGGGGTTTCCAAATTGGGTCGGCCGACTCTTGGTCTTTGTTTTTTAGGGGTTTAGGGTTGTAGTTTTTGGCCTGACATTCGTTTGCCTTGCACTGCTTGCCGCGGTGGATGGTGAAGAGGTCTGCTACATTCTGCTATTTGTTTCAACGTGTTTGCATCCTGCGCCTGCTTCGCAAGGAGGTATGATTACGACGTTCGGCAGCGTCTTGTGTGGGTGGCACTGATTAGACAAATACAACCGTTTGTGAGCTAAGAGCTTCTTGGGATCGCGGCTCACCTGGTGGCTACAGCTGCATAAAATGGTATCACTCAAGCAAGGATGTACCCTCATGCTGTTTCGGGGTGGATGGGAAAATGGGGGAATGACCATGCCTTTCGGTTTTGTCGCGGGTTCCTTTTTCAGGTTTGGGGGGGTTGGCTCTGTTTGTGTTCGGTGGGCAATCGGTGAATCGGAAACCACAACCTCGGAGTCTCTGTTGCCAGGGAAGTTGGGGATGATCCTTCCGAGCTCTTGCCACTCAGGCTCCTTGAAAAGAAGGCCGAGCTGAACGTGAAGGACACATATGGGAGCACGCCGCTCCAGTATGCCAGGCAGAAGTCACATCTGGAGGTTGTCCACCTGCTCCTAGCACTTACGCACTGTACTTGTTGTGCTTGACCTCTGTCTTTTGTACAGGATGCTTCAATGCGTATTGTTGGTTGGTTCTCCTAGGTTGCCTGGGACACCCAATGCAAAATCCTTTTGCTCGAGGTCTAGATTTCCTGAATTCTGCTGTTAGCTGCCAGTGCTTACAAGCCACAAGGCTAGAGGCAACGTGATGGACAACGACGATCACACGGCGCGCCACCTTGCGAGCACTGGATCAAGATCGATGCGCACCACCCGAGATTTCTGCTCAGATGAAGTTTGCTCTGCAAGCTCGGAGTAAAAACATGCCAGCCGATCGGAATGCAGCTCCAGATTCGTGGGACATCACCTCAACAAGGAATGTGCATACAAGCCATTATATTCCCAATCTTCAGCGACTCACAGCAGTGGCTCCAGGCACTAGGAATTGAAAGAGTCTACTTGGAGGTTCATGGGTAGTTATAGGTAGAGATATAAGTCCCTTAATATGGGTTAAAACTTTCGTTACCCTACTTGTAAGCCCACTTATAACTACCCTACTTAACCTCCAAGGGTCTCGAGTTGGTCCCAGGCCTTCTGGGCAGGTTCTGGGGTGGAGGAAGGACCTTGCCCTAAAGATAGAAACTACAAGGATAGCTTCGAGCCCCTTACACACCCCAGCTCACAAATTGCAAATTTAGGGCTCGGATTCTTAGGTGCTTTTCCAAGTCGTCTCGCCCTCCTCCCCCTCCTTTAACATGATTATGCGGACCAAGCAGGGGCCATTACCTAAAGGACCTTAACGGAAGCCCCAGCTCTTTCCAGCAACCCCAATCCATACATATTTCCAGGACTTAGAGATCAACTTCGAAAGACATGACTTCTAGGAGCAAGCAAGAACACAGAACGGGCATTCCGACATTGAAAAGCCCAGACCTCTAGACTCTAGAAGTCTAGAGTCTAGAGGTCTCGACTCTTCCATTTGGTTTTTGGCAGCATTGTAACTGGGCTCCGAGTGGCTCCCCCTGTTTCCAACAACATGTCTATCGAACTCCCTGCCCTTTCCCTTGCGCATAAGCACGATGAAATCTGAAGACTGGAAGAACTAAATGCTCCGAGCTCCGACACCCTCAGACCGAGCTTAAAACCTTGTATCTTCAGCTGTAAATAACACCCGCAACGCCCCACCTGAAATCCGAAACCCTATGCCCAAATCTGAAACCGAAGCCCAAAACATGAAAGCTTGAGCCAAAATTGCGCCGGAAATCCTATGCCTACATCTTACATCCGAAAGCCCCTGAAGCGGACTGCGGTGTTGCCAAAGTCTTTCAGGTTCTCACCTGAGGGAGAGCCGCCAGCAGCCCTCTTTCACCGGACGCCTGCTTGACAAGCAAGCCAAAAGAATTGCGCTGTGCTTCGCTGTGTGCGTGGTCGTAGGGTTAAGGGGAGCAGTGCGAAAAAGGACCAGAATGAAATTGATGCTTCTTGGTTCCATGAGGAGTGGTTGCACCTTCTTCGCACAACCGAGTTCGAAGATGAAGCGCATGAAAGCTGAGCATGTGGAGGGTTCCCACGTAGGGGGCATCGGACCGAGTTCTTCGGGAAAATTGAGAGTTGCTTGCATCAGTCCTCTACTCACCGCCAGTGTTCAAGGCCTCCCTGAGGGCGCTGAAGTGAGCCCAACTTTGCCACGGGGTTGTCATGACAGTAACGACCACGAGCAGTTGTTTTTCATCCGCTTCTGCAGTGGAGACATTGGGTGCAACGTCCAGCATTGCACTACTCGACCTCCACCGTGCTGAGCATGGTCATCTTGGGTTTGTCTAGGTCCTGGAAACTGTATTCGCCGCATTTCTGATCATCTTTCACGTTGCATAGCCCGTATAGTATCGCTATGAGTTTTGCTTGCTGCGCCATGGAGTTCAGCACGATCCAGCGAATTCTGGAAAAGTGCTTCTCCTTCAGAGGCTGCTGCACATCTCATGCCTCTGCAGTTGCCTGAGACCAAAGTCAGCGCAAGGGCTTCTCTTAGGGGTACTTAGAAATACTTTTAAAGTATTTTTGGTTATTATAATCCCTAAGAAACAGCTAAAATTCATAATTTTTGCTAGGATTCTAAGTTCAGTATAGTTCTAGACAACTCGAAGTGCACGGATCCTTCCAAAAAATGGAGCCTATTTCCCAGCAGCTGCTGCTTGAGGATTGGTTTGATGACACGGATTAGGATGGGTTACAATGTGCATGGTTTTGCAATGTCGGGTTTCGGTTCAGTTTGAAGCGTACATGTCTGAGGTTCTTGTGGATTTGAATGACACATCCCGTCAGATTTTGCCAAGTGCTTGGCTCCGTGCAGGCTTCAGCTATTTTTTGAGGGTGTAAGGTTGCACTGGCGAGTGGCAGCGTCATGGCAGGATGACTGATCGGATGCGTCAGAAGTTCTACGCTTTGTGCCGTCTTGTTCCTCGACCATACTCTAATGTATTGTATCATAGAAAACTTTATACCTTGCGATACGATGCTCTAGTGTACTTTTTCTTACTCTGTATTCTACTCTACTCATCAGATCGCCGAAGCTTGAAGCTTTCACTTCCTTACCCCTGCTTAGTAGGGAATGGAAGAGTGGTAGCAACACTGTTGATGATACAAATCCTGCGTTACCTTAAGGACCCTAAACTATGGGAATTATGGTGTATCCCTTATTATGGGTAATGCACGATTTCTATCATCGCTAACCCAAGGTAAGTTTCATGTTACATTATAGTACCAGTTCTAGTATCCCTTATAGTAACCCTTATATAGAGACCCCTTTAAATAACCAAAGCTAAGATTCCGAGGCCCGAGTTCAAGCACGCCGAGCGGAGCGTACGTCGGCGCTGATGGCCAAGGCAAGGCAGGGTTCGAAGGCGCTTAGAGCCTTAAGGCGCGCTTTACTTACCTTTGGTTACTTTAAAGGGATATGTACCTTTGGTTACTAGGGAATGAAAGGGGCCTTATAAGGGGGTTTATAAGGGTTACTGTAAGGGATCTACAAGGGTACTATGATATAGGGGCCTTAGTAATCCTATAACTTACCTTTGGGTAGTAGGGAATGGAGGAATGGGGTACAATTATAACTACTATTACTACCATTCCTCCATTCCCTACTAACCAAAGGTAAGTTTAAGGCTTGGGGCTTGCAAGCTTTCAGGGCTTCAAGCTTTAGGGGCCGTTGAAGGGTACTAGTACCTATTCCTTCAGGAAATTTAACCTCAGGGTGGATGTGAGGCATTTGGTGTGCGTTTCCATAGCCCCTGAAGGTTCATATGGGAGTTTCCGAAAATGAGGGACCCGAACACAGTGCCTTAAATAGTAGGATCCTTAAAGAAAGGACCATAAAACAAGGTATCCCTAATTATCGGAAACTCCCATGATCAGATTTCCGACTGGCCCCCCAAAGGCGGCGGCAGCCCATTTCGCCTCAAGGTTTAGGGTGCTTAGAGGATCATGGGACTTAGTAAATAGGTTAAAAATGTTATTAAATATCATTATAATATTGAGGATGATAATGATGTATTTTTAAATGAATTATAGGTTATAATTGGGGTTATAAGTCCCCTAAGTGGGGTTATCCTAATTATAACCTACTTATAACCTTACTTACTAAGTCCCATGAGCCTTCAAGTGCAGGCCTCGGGTTGGGCCAGGGAAAACGTGGAAGTCCTCGTCTTTCCTTAAAGGATCATGGGACTTAGTAACTAGGGTTATAATCAGGGTAACCATACTTCTAATTACTGATAAGCCCAATTCAGGTACTTATAACCTTACTTACTAAGTCCCATGATCCTCCAAGTAGTCTTAGTGCAGGCTCAGGCTTCACGGGGGGGTTGTGGAAGTACGCGCGGCGACTTCGTGGATCATGCAGAACGGGGCTCGACTTGAAAGTTTGCGCTAGGCTGAGGCTCTAAATGACTCCAACTCTTACCCGAAGCTCGCTGTCGTGGAAGTTTCAAGGGCAAAGGATTTTCGAGGAGCTGTTGGCTTGCGGTTTAGAATCTAGGGCTTGGGAGCGGCTCAGCAGGCGAGCTCTAACGCTTGAACATCCACAGTGCGCCGGACATGACCTGCGAAGAAGAGACGACTCAGCACCAAGCCACCAAGTCACAGCTGTCATCGACTCATCAGGCTCTAAGAAGTCACATCTTAAGCAAGTGCCAGTGGTTTCATCGTCTTGCCAATGTTTTGTATAGTCTCATGATATTCGCGGCTCGTGGCCGTAACCTCCAGGCCATGCTCTGCAGCTGACTCCACCTGCTGTATACCGTCTTCGCTTCGCTCCGTTTCTTCTCTCTTTCTCTCTCGGTCCCTTGTCGCGTGCTCGTGCAAATTCGTGCTTGCTTGCGTGCGCAGGTCTGGACTGCATGTTTTTGCACGGGTGCATCTGCGCATGCGCACGCCCGGTAGTGCATCTGATGCACATGTCGCTGCTTGATTGTATGCTGGTTTCAGTATGTTCTTAAGGTCTCTAAAACGCTTGTAGATCCCAATCCCAATCCCAAGAGACAGCCCCGAAAACAGGTCGGCGATCCGGACTGGCACTGGCTCTCTTGAGGGCAAACTGACCTTTGGCATCCTCCGTTCAGAGCGTGGTGCCCCCAAATCCTCCTGAGCGGAGTACGGTTACGGCCCTTACGGCCCCAGTGGAGGCCCTGAAGCAGCTCTTGATGAGCTGCTTACATGAGTTGGCCTACGGCTTTCGCCATTTACACAAAGTCGTCTTTCTTGCCAGGGACTGGGTTCCAGTAGCCTTGGACCTCTACAGGCAGCAGCTCTCGACTACCTTCCCGTTTGCGAGTCGCCGGGGTCACAGCATTTGCTGAGCCAGATGCCCAAGGCGGTGTGCAGCTGCATCTTCTTGCCAGTTTTCTCGGCCAAGAAGCAAAGTCTGTTCCATTCTTTCTGGAGCCCAGGCTCTCCCGATCGATCTTCTCAGTCGGCATCCCTCACTTTGCAAGGTTGCTCTGAGCTAAACCTCCCTTTAGCCGCCACGTGAAAGCCAGGCCTCGCCTGCACAGGCGTGTAGCCGCTTGAAGCTGCAGCTTCTCGGCCGAAAGAGGAGAGTCATCGAAAGCGCAAGCAGTGCAGCTCCTTGGGAGCCTTGGACCTCTACAGGCAGCAGCTCTCGACTACCTTCCCGTTTGCGAGTCGCCGGGGTCACAGCATTTGCTGAGCCAGA